CGCGAGCTGTGTAGTGCATCGTGCTTCGTCGAGCCATGGCGTAAGACGCCATCTTGACCGCGCTCGCGTGTGTGTTGTGTTGGCGTGCATCGTCGCACACACTCGCGTGTTGAGTCGTGTCGCGTAGCCGCCGGCGGCCAGTATTCGATTTCGATGGCGAGGGCTGCATTGCGTGTGTTGGCGTGCATCGTCGCATACGCGTGCATGGGTTCAGCGGATCGGTGCCCTTTCTCGCTGCATCGAGCACTCGGCGGATCAGCTCCGCTTCTCGTTGCGTCGCGCGCTCAGTGGCTCGGTGCCACGTCTCGCTCTCGTCGTGGCCCACGTGACATCGGCCATCTCTTGTCTGATTCGACGCGTTTCGTGTGTGTTTCGTGCGGGGCACCACGGCTAACGCTCGTGTATTAGCGTGCATCGTCGTATACGCGTGTGTGTTGAGTTGTGCCGCGGCATACGTGCGCTAGGCTTTGGTACGGTCAACGATCGTAGAATACATACTATACTAACGAGACGTTAGATCTCGGTCGTGATAGCGTCCGTACAGCAGCGAAACGAGCAAAGCGAGTTCGGAATACTGCCGAGAATATTTTTCGGGCCCTGCATGGCCCAACTTAACAGGAAATTAATAATAAAAATCCACAGTCGTAATTAACAGTAAAATCGCTGTCGTTGTTATTGCACATCTTGGACTTCCTATTGCACCCGAGACCCGTTCTTTCAGGTAGTGACGTCTGACGGTAAGTTGGTGACGCGAGTTGACGCTCACGACTCGATTGACGACGGCCCAGACCCCCTTCACATGAGGTAAAGTAATAACTGCTCGAGCTTGCCCCGCATAAAAATTAGACGACGAAGGAACGAGCAGGAGCAGTTGCCTTCCCCATTTCTGCCTCGTCGCAAGACATTATTTAATCTACTCTGAACTGATCTCTTGTACACTCACACTTTGTCGGGTACGCTAGCTGCGTTGCCGCCTGAGGGTCGGCACGGGCACGATAAGACAATCGAATTACTCACGTTGCTCCTCGCCCACGAGGCTCACGACCACACGGGTGGACTCCGCGTCGGGGGGGTCTCACAAAGCCGAGGTGCTCTCCTCGCTATCGTCTGCTGGCCGCAGACGTGAGAAGGGACGCGCTGGAGTAGTAGAACCGATGTTGTGTTCGATGAGGCTTGGTGCGCCACGTGAATCGCCAGCACGCACACTCGATAACTATGGCCACCAAATTCACCAAACGCAGAGACTGAACTCTCCACCAGATCACTGCAATTCACACGAACACTCGCACACTACTCTTAACACACGACTCTCTACACTCGATACAACAAGGATAGCAGCGGCGATTGCGTACCAGAAGCTCCTGATGCTGATGCTCTGAGATGTCATTCTAGGATAATATTCTCGAGTAAAACCTGTAATTTTGTGGAGAAAGTTATCTTCGAGTTTCGAGTTCGACCGGGCTACCCAGGATAATTGAGAGAATCTTGATGTCGAGAGAAAAATCTACATGTATCGCTTAAATAAAACTCATACATATCAAATCGATGAGCAGCATCTATATTTATATAGATACATATATCCTAGCCTTCCCAGTTGAAAATAGTTGCATGGATTTCCTCGTGGATCAGCTACGTGGAATCGATGCTGATCGGAGATGGATTATGCGTGGAAATAGCGTGGAAACAACGTAGAAACAGCGTGGAAACAGCGTGGAAAGTACATCGATTCCACGAGGACAGTTTATAGATTCCACGAGGAAAGATCATAGATTTCATGTAGATTTTCACCAGTTTATCCACGAGGACTTTCTTAGACGATCCACGAGGATATTTTGGTCATCGAAAAAATGAAAAAAAGTTTCTCCCGTGAGTAGGAATTGAACCGGGGATCTTTTGTTTTCGAAGCTGGTACTCTAGTGACTGAGCGCTCAATCAGATATATTAGTAATCGATTTTAAGTGAATAATAAGAAAAAAATATAATGAGAACAATTTCATTTTTTGTAATTTTTATTCAAAATTTAAATCGTTTGAATAAAGTTGTGTGTAAGTGGAAAAGAATTTAATTACCAAACTTTTGAGACCTAAAGGAATCCAATTGAATGAATGTTGTTTTCAAAATCATGCGGTCAAGGACTTCAAAAATACAATTCAATATATATGAATCCTGGATGAATTTTAATAATAAAAGGAACTACAGACATATTGCTTCCTCATAGAGGGAGCTCTGTGATAGGCTCGAAAACGAGATTCTGAACCAGACCTCGTAGGACAATTTGGTTTATATATTTGGAAACTACATTGAATTACCAACAAATGTCTGTATGAGTTTTTGTTTTCTCGGCCTTTTGGCTAACATAGAAATGTAGGTAGGTCCTGATGGTCGTGATCTAACGTACTTAGGACACTAGACAGTGAATCAAAATTTTAAATTACGAATTTTCAAGTTAATAACCGATGCCTTTTGTTAATATTATTTTTTATGAGGAATATATGAGGAATATATGAGGAATATGAGGTTAATATTTTTTTTATGAGGAAGCTCTTTGCCAATAAATTGGCAGCGGTTTTTTTGTTGTAAAAGGACCTGCAAAAACATATTTTAACATAAAAAACCAAAAATTTTAATATTAATCCTTAATTTTCATGTTATTGCATTTATAGACATAAACACAGGTGTGTCCCCTTTAGAATTCGCAAAGTAATCATATTTTATTCGAAAGTTTTCTTTAAGAATTCTTTAAGAGTTATAGATATGACCACCAATAGAATTATTTTTGAGTTCTTATAGTATTCTAAAGTATTCATAAAGTATACTTAAAGCATTCATGAAGAACTCTAAAGCATTCGAAAAATTTCACGCGTGTTTTGACTTATTTTTAGGTAAAAAATTCATACATAAGGTACGTAACCATCTCCTGTTCTTGAGGGCATTTGGTCACTGATGTAGCACTAAGACTACTTCTCCGAAAAAATTTTTACCTTCATTTTGTTACTCTATTACGTGGTAGTTACCTCTTTCAAACAAGAAAAATCAAAATTTTGCTGGTAAAATAAAAAAATTCGTAATGATATTCGCGTATCTAAGAGTAGAGGCATACTTCTAATACTCATTACTATCCTGGCCGAGTTTCGTCCAAATCAATGCATTATTGAAGAAGAAAAAGGAAGACAAAAAATAATCATAATCAATAATAATTTTTAGGTTACAATATTCTGTATCCTCGTTTTTCTCCTTTGATAATGCATGGATTTGGATGAAACTCGACCAAGGTGGTTAATAAGTGTATTAGAAATATGCCTCTACTCTTAGATACGCGAATATCTCCCAATTTTTTTAATTTAACATAAATTGCTCGGTAGCCTGACGGTATCAGGCATTCATGGTTAACGACAGCTTTACGCCTTGACAGCAGTTGGCTGCGACACTATGTCTCTCTCTCTCACTCGTTTCACGCCAGCAGATCTCGGATGAAAGGAGCACTTGCCTTCTCTAGGCCACGCAGCGATGCACGTGGGCTTGACTTGCCCTTGCAAATCAAGTTCAGACTTCGATACTCGTCTCCCTCGATTACAGATCACGATCTGCACGTACATGCTCATTACTTATTTCTCTTGGGTACTGAACTGCACTCGCAACTTCACTACTTTTTCGATCTTGGTCGCGAGTTAGCCTCTTGCTTCTATGCATTTGCACGACCACTCTGTTCGCTACGAGGGCTGCGTGGTTACTCTATGTTTCGCGTCTGCTCTGCTGGCCGGGCACGTGCCTAACGGCACTTGCGAGATGGTGGCAGGTGGTTTACTTTCGCACACCGTCGCATAACTCAGTTGACCATATCTTTTGGAATTGTAAGCTTTTCGAAGCTCCTAGAACCAAACTTTTGTCTAATTCAAATCAAATATTTATTTGTAACCAATACTCTGTGATAACACTAGTAAGTCGGAAAACATTCATGTCTTACAAAGTATATGTATATATCCCACTTTATACTAGAAATCGACTGTACACTGTAGGTCTTAAGTTTTTCTACATTATACTTCTTGTATGTATAAATCCTATGTATCGTTACTCGTGGCAATGTATAATATGAACGCCAATTAATATACTTTCAATTCAATTCAACACCGTCGCATTGTTGTGTCGTGATCATGCCGCTGACTAGTGATACCCGTTGTTGATCTTTGTCTCGGCTCTGCTGCTAATCTGCACTCTTTCTTGGCCTGAAAGTACCTACTTAAAATACATGCTACTTGCTTTATCTCATTTTTATTACGCTTTTCACGTGGAGCGCGCGTAAGGGTTGCCCATCCGTAGGCAACTATGACTCCCATCACAAGACCTCCACGTGTTCTGGGCCTGCCAAAAACACAACGCACCTAGAACAGTACTCTAAAAAAAATTAAGTAAACTAAACAAATTTCCATCCTTTACAATATCCGAAACTCTTTATCATCTCGAACCACTTACCATCGAAATCCTCTCCAAATTCTTAATTCTATGCAACAAAAAACTTCAATCCTTCCTTTTTATACTTTAAATTCACCAATCTCTTTTTATATATTCTCGCGCCTTTTTTGTAAGGCCTGTTAATGGCCATATGATATACAGCTCACTCACAATCGGCGCCACCAATGAAAGAAGAAAAAGAAGAAGATAAAAGTTACCTAGTTTGCTGCTAAAAAACGGCTCAAAAATTATTTTTCAACACTTTTTTCTTGACACCTTCAGCCTTTCAATTGCTTCTGAATAGTTTATTTAGAATGTGCTAATTACTGTGCATAATTGGCTATTCATAATTTATAACTCGATTATGGCTACATCTGTGGAAGCTGAGGAAGATTTTAGGTACTGTTGCTGTTGTTAAAAAAAAAAAAAAAATGTATCTTTGGATTGCTAATAAAACCTTACAATCGTACGACTTCGACGTCATATGTTTTTCTTAGCTTTCATTTTGTGTGTTAAGTTTCATATAGATTTAAAAGCTTTCAAAATTCGTATTCGTGTCGTATATTCATTTGAATTTTTATTTAATCATTTATGTCATTTGACCTTCTTATAAGAATATTATTCAAATATAGTTGCTCATTGAAATTTTTTATAAACTATGTATTTAAATCAGGCTTTTATTATTTTTTTTAATATGTTGGAATAAGTTTTTCTATTTTAAGCTTGAAAGATTTAGTTTTCACGCTATGATAAAGAAGAAATAATTTAACAATAAAGCGATAAACATATAAGCTGAAATGGCAATTGATGATCCACTATTGCAGAAATCATTTGTACAGGAACATACTTCCTGACGTCCACCAAATCCTCCTCTTTGATAACATTTCCCTTTGTAATTTGATTCGTCCCAGGCGCAGCTACGTATGACTCGAGTATCTGCTGGCACTAAAAAATAAACATCCTTTATTATAAAATTCTACAAAAAGATGAAAGTTGCAAGTTAACTGATTTCGTATAAAATTCATATAATTATAAAGATGATCTCATTAACCGACACTTGCGCGCTAGAAAGTTGGGCAGAAATAATCAGTCGAATAGAGGGCCTTCTTTAGAGGCTTAAAGTTGACTATTTTAGTGTTTTTCCGAAATTCTTTAAAAATCGCCAATATTCAAATAATCCGTAGATCAGTGTAGAATGATATAAAAGTAAAAGTGATTGAAAGCTTTTTTGATGCTTTGTTGAAAATTGTCCAAATTTTTAGAAAAATGTTTTGTAATAAACAATTGATTTTTTTTTAATTCTCCAACAATCAGTTTAGGCAGTAATTTAACTCACAATTTTATGAGTGTTGATTCTCTACGAAAATCGAAGATAAGACGATGATTTTCAAGACTTATGATGATTTAAAATACGTGAAATTTTTCTACGCTAATTTCAAATCTGTGGCGTTGAAAACATCTAAAGATGACTATATTATCAAAGCCACAATGCAATTTGGAAATGCAACCTCGACCATGAGTTCAACCTGGAACTCTCGCCTATAGCTGGCGAGTGCTATACCAATTTCCCTATCGAGGCCTCGGTCAAATTCATCTCTTCCCCAATGAAAATATTTTTTTTGATCCCCTGGGCGAAAGTACGCGGTTTCGCCATCGATTTCGATGGCAAAAGTCGTACTTTTAGCCACTGTTATTTCGCTTTTTTTCACTGCAAGCAATTTTGTCCCCTAGCAACCGTATATTGTTATTGGAGGTTTTAGTTCGAATAATCAATCTCGTTTATATGAGCAAACGTGTTATTGAAAATGCATTTTCAGCGACCGAAGACTTTGACGAAGAAAATGAAATTTTTCGGAAATTCGAAGAAGAAGCTGATTTGATTAGGCTATAGCCGGTATATAATAGTTCAAGTATAATACAATCATTGGGAGTAAATTCAATTGTAAATTCTACGACGAATACTCCTAATACTATTAATGATTGTACTTTTGTCAAATGTACGTTTGTTAATTGTAAATTTATTAATTCAAACCAATCTAATAAGTAAAAAAAATTTTATTAGTGTTTTTGAGCAAATATTGAATAATAGAACCGATAAACAAAGATCAGATAAGGACAAACGAAACTAGCTAGACTTCGAGACGAAGTCAAATTGCGGCTCCGTCTAGCGTTAGCGCGTTATCAAGGTTATTGAGACGATTGAGCTCATAGATCATTTTCAAAACGTACTTTTATGACTTAAATTTCGGCAAAAACGAAAAATGAAAAAAAATGTGTGTTTAACTGTTCATGCAGAGCAACCTGGGTGTTCGGTCGTCTTGCCCGTGGTAGTGGCCATAACCATTCATGTTCTGAAGAAGTGTACGCGACCCTGGTGCAGAAAGTTCAACCGATACCATCTGAATATTACGACAGGTGACCAAAAACACTACTCGCCAGAAAACGCAAAAGAAGAAAAAATTTAACATTTTTTTTTTTTTTTTTTTTTTTTTTTTTTTTTTTTTTTTTTTTTTTTTTTTTTTTTTTTTTTTTTTTTTTTTTTTTTTTTTTTTTTTTTTTTTTTTTTTTTTTTTTTTTTTTTTTTTTTTTTTTTTTTTTTTTTTTTTTTTTTTTTTTTTTTTTTTTTTTTTTTTTTTTTTTTTTTTTTTTTTTTTTTTTTTTTTTTTTTTTTTTTTTTTTTTTTTTTTTTTTTTTTTTTTTTTTTTTTTTTTTTTTTTTTTTTTTTTTTTTTTTTTTTTTTTTTTTTTATAGATAGAGAAATGCGTTACGCACCGTAAGGAGGTTTGAGTTGAAATCAACCCCGAACCTCCCCGTGTGTGGGACTCGCCCTTAACCGACTTGCGTCGGTGAGGGAATACCCACTAAAACTTTATCTGCCCGAGCGATGGAAGTGCTCGGACGCGGCTTTATTTCGTGGTGCCATCTTAGATGGTGGGAGACCACGTTCTCCAAAGTATAGGAACGTTCTCGTAAAGTATAGGAAAAAGGCTCACGGAAACAGCTGTATCTCAGGGCAAAATCAAAATTTTGGAATTTCGAAAAAAGCAATGGAAAGGGGAGAAAAAATCCTATTCAAAAATTGAATAAAAAAAATTTTGAATTTAAGGTGTATATAAGCCCTTAATGTCTCCTAAAGCGATTGAAGCCACCTGGGAGGTTATAGAGTGGAAAAAAATTGAAAAAAACACCAAATCGGTTTGACCAAACTAAACACCAGTCCGGTTCGAACTCAATCAGATTTGGTGTTTTTTTCAAGTTTTTTCCACTATTTAGCCCCCCAGGTGGCTTTAATCACTTTGGGAGACATTTTTTTCTAAAAATTTGGACGATTTCTAACAAAACATCAAAAAAGATTCCAATTACTTTTACTTTTAAATCATTCTACACTATATCCAGGGATTATTTGAATATTTTTGATTTTTAAAGAATTTCGGAAAAACGCTAAAATGGCCAACTTTGGGCCTCTAAAAAAGTGTAATAAAAGGCTTCAATGTTCCTAAAATTTTTTTGGGACAAACCTGTCATGGAAGAAACCCAGTTTTTCATTATTGCCAAAAAAAAATTTTTTTTAGCCATTCGACTTCACAGAGAATTGGCCAAATATTATAAAAAAAAAAGAAAAATCGAGAGAAAATCGTGTTAAATGCCGGCATTGAAATTGGTTCATCTAAAAGTTAATTGTTTACCTTACCACCGTGATGAGAAAAGCTTGATAAAAATATTACTAATATTTCTTGTTAGAATCTTCTTTCGGGTCTGATGTCAAGGTTAGTAGAAATAAAAACGTAAGACATATATGGGCTATTCCACAACAGGTGTTGCAAGCCCAAAAAATGAAGTTGAAACTAACCATTTACTCTTCAAGAACACAATGAAAAATGAAAATCCCGAAGAGCACAACCCCCTAGGTCCAACCCTCATGGATCTACAGGGGCTCAAAGTTGGATTTTTATGTTTTGAGGATATTTTGCTTGTTACTCTGTTTTTTTGGGGTGAATATGAAAAAAATTTTACATAGCAGCGGCCCGAAAGTAGCATTTCCCGGCCGCTGCGCTAAACGGGATATTGATATTTTCGGGCCCGGGGTATGTAAAATCGTATACTGGCCTATACCGGGAAAAAAGAAAGCCTCAGTGCACGTGCTAATCGACCTCGGCTTCGCCTCGGTCGCTTATTTCACGTGCCCTGGGACTTCTCTGTTTTTCCTGGCCTAGGGCAGTAATATACTATTAAACCATGCTTTTTCATGTAAAATTTGATGTAGAATTCAAATCTGTAATCAGATGAGATATTCATAACCTCAAAGACCCTTGAAATAGCAAAAATGGTGTAATAGGAGATGAAAGTCAAAAAATAAATATGTTCGTATGCCTCAAATTGGCCCATATTGTAATATGTTCATCGATACACCAAAATACAACTTCTGATAAAGTTTGGTAACTGCATTTTACATGAAAAAATATGGTTTAAAAATTTTTTCATATTCACCCCAAAAAAGCAGAGTAAACAAGCAGAATATCCTCAAAACATAAAAATCCAACTTTGAGCCCCTGTAGATCCATGAGGGTTGGACCTAGGGGGTTGTGCTCTTCAGGATATTCATTTTTCATTGTGTTCTTGAAGAATAGATGGTTAGTTTCAACTTCATTTTTTGGGCTTGCAACACCTGTTGTGGAATAGCCCATATACATTTATCCATAGAAGTAGCCTGGTTGTAGAAATGTAAGATATTCATTGTGCGAGTCATCTAAGCTCAAGCTCACTTTCATTTTCAGTCCCGTCATAATATATAATTTTATTTTTAATCAAATATAGACGCTCATTTTATTTAATTTATGCAAAAACTTATTCACAGTCAAAACAGATTAATGTTCAATACTCACATCCATTGACACTAAATTCAATAACTTGTTTTATTTTTCTACACATCGTATATTTTGCTCCTTCCACGTGCTCCGAACAATCTTTCTTCAATGCATCTGGTAGATTTCCTTCTGCACATCGACTATCTATATGACTGTTACACTCAAAACAATGCAAAGCCTCCACACCTAGAAAAAAATAAGTCAGTTCAACTGAATAGATTTATAAAAACGTATACATGAGTAGTCATATAGTTTTTAGGTTAAACTAAAAAATGAATAATACTTCTGGAAAAATAAAGGTGAGAAGTAAGATATTTTATTCGCCTAATTTACAAAGATATTGCTCGTGAAAAAATAAATGGTAGCCACCACGTTAATAGGTCATAAGGACCGTGCAATTATCAGCCACGTCAAAGCGGAGGATTGATTCACACAATGAAACGATGCAAACTGCAACAGAACAGTATTTGCAGCTCTGTTGATGTAATAATTTATGTGAAATTTTATTTTATTAAATTTATTCAAGAGTATATAACTTACAAGGAGAGCTTTTCAGGTCCGGGTCACAAATATTTACCAAACTTTTTTGGGGGTCTTTTGGTACTCAACATGGAAGCTCCCAGTGCTTAGTTTGATCTAATGGGCCTTAGGGCCCATTTTTAGAGGATTTTCCACATTATAAAAAAATCTTTGTTATTTTCTATATTGATATAGAAGTACTTAAAAGAAAAAATGCAAGAATCATAAGTTTTAAAACTTTTCAAAGAACCGGCTTGGATTTTTTCAGAATTTTTGGGACCATCTATCACTTAATTCAAGAGGCCCAAATTTGACGCTTTTTTAATAGATTTTAGGAAGACAGTGGTAGATGGTCCCAAAAATTCTGAAAAAATTCAAGCAGATTCTTTAAAACATTTTAAAAATTAGGTTATAGGTGGTGCTAACATACAGGCTCGCTGGATCACAACTTTATTAGAATATTCTCACAATTACAGTCACAATTATAGTCACGAAAAAATCGTTTTCTATATAACTATGCATAGATATAATGATTGCGCAACAATATTCTATTCGTGTGATATGCAAGAAATACTTTGAGATCTCATAAAAAATTTCAACATATTCCACGAGCACTGCATCAACGTTACCGTCGATACCACTTTTTACGTGGCTGATGGATTTCTGCCACTCTCCTCACCGCATCAGCATTTAGAACACATAACACAAATGTAAAAAAAATGTTAACATTGGGCACTAATAATTCATTCTTCGCAACACTATCACTGAATAATTTGTTGTTAAATTTAAACTACGACACCGCGATTTTTCTGCCACACGTCAAAATTCACGGATATTATAGTTTGTTTATTACGTTGTTTTTTTTTACATCTCACTTCATATAGTTGTCAACTTGGGCCTGGTTATGACTCCTTCGCTCTCTTGGGACGCTCATTATAAAAGCATTTCCTCTCGCATTGATGGAGTGCTTCATTGTCTGCGAGCCGGGGCTAGTTTTTTGCCCGTCAACATAAAAAAGATGCTTGTCAACGCTTTCATCGTGCCTCATTTTGATTACGCCTGCCTCGCGTTCATTGACATCTCTAGCTCATTGGACATCAAGCTTAGGCGATTACTAAATGCTTGTATACGCTATATTTTCCAGCTACCAAGAGACGCTGCACTACCGCCTTATTACACCAGGCTCGCCAAGTGAATACTTTCTAAACATTCAAACGTTTAAAGCACTCAATGGACTATGCCCCGTATACATCTCGGACATCTATCACTGGACGGGCGAGAGAGTCCGTAGATAGGCGAGAATCGCGGATGGAGCACCGAAAATTGAGGTCCCATTTGCGAATTACACTACCTTGAAAGCAGGATTTTCTATGAGAGTAGCCAATTCATAGAATACACTTTCAGCTCAACTACAGTCGTTGGGTCCCTTGGAATCGTTCAAGACGTTGCTTGGACATTATTTGAGGCGGCACCAGACTGTTCACTAATTGCTATATATTTATTGTGCTCATTTGTATATTTTCACACTTACTGCTTTTAATTATATATATCCTTGCTTATAAATATATAAATTGTGTATTATAATTTGCAATTTGTTATTATAGCCTACGTTTGCTTATCGTTTGTATTATTTGGCTCAATATTTTTTTAATATTTTGTTTATCTGTAATTATTGTAGTTTATTGCTAATTACCATCGGGTCTTTTGACCTTGGTAAATAAACTATTCAAATCAAAGGGTGACAGGAATCTATCAGTTACGTAAAAAGTTGTATCATTGGTGCCGTTGATGCAGTGCTCGTGGAGTAAGTTGAAATTTTCTATGAGATCTTGAAGTACTTCTTGCATATCACAAGAATAAAAAATTGTTGCTGAATCATTATAACTTTGCATAGTTACATGGAAAACAATTTTTTTTCCATCTGTTCACAGGTCCGAGCACAGCTCTTTATCTCTTAATCGCAACCCTTACATCCAATCGGCTATTGCATTTATTCCGACTAGCTTTCCTTGGGTGCACTATAACGAATTGAGAAAAGAAAAATGAAAAAATCTAAATTTGGAATGGCCAAAATTCACCGTGAACTCAGGAAGTCACAATGAAGAGTCTAAAATTGATTTTTATTTATTAATACATATGCATGTATTGATTTATGAACTAATGCCCCGCAGTGCTATAAAAATAAAAAATAAAATTATTCGTCAACCATAGTGTCATTCATTCATAGCTTGATAAAAATATTATGAACAGAAGAAATATCCCAATCAATGCACGAAGGAAGGAAAATACCCATTCAACTATAATTTTTATCAATCAATCTAGCTGGAATTCGATGGTTTATATTTTGTGTTGAAACATAATTATGTTTTCTCGAGCTCAGCTCGGTGGCTCCCTCGTGTGTGCATGTGTTTACGGATTGTACTGTGTGTGCAAAAGAGTGGCCAGATACTGCTGGGACTTCAGACCGAGTACAGCTACGCTGCTTACTTTTGTTCGCATGCGCTCACATCAAAGGGCACTACAAAGCACTAGCACAACTGACAGTTTCGTATCACCGCTAGTGCGCGCGAACCCGTAGGGCCATTAATCGGCAAGGCCAAGACAAATTCATCGCAGAGTCGCCGCAGCCAAGTCTACGAGCTCGACGGGGTTTCCAACCTTCTGTTGCAGAGTTGACTCCGGAACAACATCGGATCTCGGCTACCACTCGATCCACATCACTCACCAACTAAACAATTTGGAACTTGTACACGCCAACTCGGCCCCGGTCCTTTTCAGGACCATCTCACGTAGGATTTCGAAAGACCTCGAACTTTTGCTAAAGATCGAGGCTAACTGACTTGTCAATTGCAGCGTGCAAACTCTGCAATTCTTTTCGGTTTCCAGCCTCTTCAAGGCTACCGTTCGAAAGCTGACGAACTTTTGTAAAAGTTCAATTCAAACCGTCTTAGCAGTGGCAGAGTGTAAACTCCTAAACTCTTTTCGGTTACTAGCCTTCTCAGGGCTACTGTTCGAAAGCAAACGAACTTCTGTAAAAGTTCAATTCAAACCGTCTTGGCAGTAACAAGAGTGTAAACTCTTAAAGCTCCTTTCGGTTTTTAGCCTTCTCAGGGCTACCGTTCGAAGGCAAACGAACTTAATCATAATTCGACGTTTCCACATAACAAAAATAAATACGAAAATATTACTGTAATGCCAAAAAACATCGAACAAATATGACAATATCAGATATTTGTCATTTTACTAATGGTTTGTGTCATTTTACTCGCATTGAAACTGTTGTGCCCCCTTTAAAATTGGTCACTTTAAAAACATTATAAGTCACACAGAACCGGAGATACAGCTGTATGAGATTCCTTATTTTGTATCTGTTTCTATGGAAACAAGCCTCTAAAGTGCTTAGATCATTTTAGAATATTTTTTTCTGAAAATTTTGACAATTTCCAACCAAAAAGTGTCCTTGCACTTTTTCGTTCAAATAACCCTATACTGAGATAAAAATAATTTTATATTTGCGATCATTATGAATTTCGGAAAAAGGCCAACTTTGGGCCTCTGAAAAAGGGAGAGATATCTTTATGGGTCTATAGACGGTTCCGAAAATTCTTATAAAATTTGGGAACATGTATAGCATCACAAACAACAAAATTTTCATGTTTTTTCCGAAAAACAGAAAAAAAATAGTTTAGGACATTCGATTTCACTGAGAATCTGTGAGCTTTTAATGTATATGTTTACGAATTTTTTTGTAGTTTTTTTGCTTTTAGAATTTTTTTATTTTTGTATTAAAATTCTAGAGATCAAGACTTTAGTTTTCTTATGGATTGATTGTCCAGTCGTAGGCACTTTTTATTTCACAAAAAATCAATTGGGATAATATTAGTGCAGTGTTATAAATATTTTTTTTCAGTTTCATATTAAATTTGGAGAATTTGCTGACGGTACTCACTATCACGGTACTCACATTCTAGCATAAAAAGATCCTATTTATTTATAATACTTCAATAAAACTTTTTTCTGACTCAGGAAACTTTAATTTACAGTAAATACCTACGAAATGAGAAGTTCAGTGACAGGCTATATATTTACGTACTCTAATGCTCCGGTTACGTGATTTTCGCAGAGGCAAAAATAAGTCACACTCAGCTCTACCGAAGCTAAATATGTAGCAGCGGCTGCAGCCGCTAGAGATGCCGTGTGGCTTAGACGATTGTTGTACGATCTCAAGTATCCAGGTAATTCGTCCCCTCCCTTGTTCGTAGACAATCAGAGTACAATAAAGCTCTCTAAAAATGCTGAGTCACACAAGCGGACGATGCCCATGGATGTTAGATTTCACTTTTTGAGCGAGAAAAATGAAAGCAAAGAAATTTCTGTCAAATATGTTTGTTCCCAAATGCAAAAAGCTGACTTCCTAACAAAGCCTCTGCGCAAAGACCATTTCCATTCTATGCACGAAGGCCTAAACATTTGTGAAATGTAAGTTTTTTTTAAATTTAATCAGCTGCACTTGAGAGAAAAGGCGGAAGTGTTAAAACATAATTATGTTTTCTTGAGCTAAGCGCGGTGGCTCCCTCGTGTGTGCATGTGTGTACGGATTGTACTGTGTGTGCAAAAGAGTGTCCAGATACCGCTGGGACTCCAGACCGAGTACAGCTACGCTGCTT